ACTGCCACCATCACTCTCCTCTCTCTTCTTCCTCTATCTCTCCTCTCCTTCCCCCACTGCTACCATCACCATCTGGCTCTCGTCGTCGAAGTGGTGGATGTACTGGCTGAATGGAGAAGTTTTATTGTTTCGCTTCTTATCAGTTATTAATTCTGTTACACATAAAACAATTACCAATCCAATGGCTGTATTAGCCGAATCTATCCATGACATTATCTGGGTAAGACACCTATATGTTTGACAACAATGAAATTGATTGTTGTGCTTTAACATGGACAGATTCATTGGAGAACAAAATACATAAACGTATTTGTATATATATAATACACACACCCATTTACAAATAACAAAATCCAAATACACACACACTTAGGTTAATTCACACTTATACACACACATATTATATATACACGCCCATTTATTTATTTTTATTGCAAGAACTATGCATTTGTATATATTTTTGGCAGCATTGGCGATTTTTCTGGAGATTGATTCATTTTTCAAATGGTAATCAAATTAGATTGTTGGTTAGTGAAAGTGTATATATATGTGTATGTATTTGTGCTATACTATGTATATATGTATCTATAAATTGTCAAGGTTAAAAGGGTAATTGTATAATTTAAATAAGTCAATTCAAAAGTCAAAGAGCATCAAAGTCAATTTACATTGTGTCAAACCAGTTAGGGGGTGTCATTGTTAACTTAACATTTCAAGGGAGTGTCATTGTCCAAAAAGGGATCAAGTTTCATCTGTTGTTAATAGGACAAACCATAGGGGTTGTCACTATAATTAACCCTTAAATATTTATTTTGAAGCCCCAGTGCCATCTAAACTCTTTGTCATTAACTGAACCGAACCACCCAAAATTCTATTTAAATCTGGATGCACCTCCATAGAGATAAGACTCCCGTTAAATTCTTGGGCACTTATCTTTCACATATGAACACCATTATTGAAGGTGAAGATGCCAGAAAATACCATTCTATATTAGGAAAAGATTTTCTCACAATTCAAACAATTTGCTTCTTTCTTTATCTAACTTCTATTTATAGAAGTTTACACTTGTCCTAATTTTTTTTATTCTGCCCTAGGTTGTTGGTTGACGGACCTTCCTTCTTCATGGGGTGGTCCGTCTACACCAAAGAGGCCCTAGCCCAGGCCCGTTTTCATTATTTTCGACTAAGTACAATTTGGGCTTGAACCATGGACCTTATGGATGATGAGCAGTCTAGTCGGTCGGGTCTGTTTGGCTGCATCTAGCCCACCCAGGCCCGTCCATATCTCCCAAACTCTTCATCTGCCCCTTTAATTTTGCCATAATGATTTGGGTAAGATTAATGTGTAATGACAGCGACGAAGGCTATGATTGGATGTGACGGTGTGGGATGATGTGTACAAGCGAGAGTTGTGTTGGGTGCTTCGGTTTTTGAATCGCCATGATTGCTTTTTGACTCTTGACCGGCCTTAAGCTCCTATAAATTGAAGGCGCCTTTGTCCATTTCCCTCTCTTATCACTGTCAACCAATTGCTGACCATGCGATTGGCTCCACTCGCCATCTATATCAGTCATACCTGTAATGAAATACCAAACAATTGAACAAAAAATCACAGTTCCAAAAAAAAAATTTCGAACAAAATATGTCAAATCTCTTTGTCCTCAATTAGGTCTAAGCATACCAAGTGGTTTAGTGGTACAAGGATTCTATTTTTCAAAGGATGGTCAGAGAATCGAACTCAGTGGAGGTAATGTGTGTGAGTCCCCACTAAAAAAAAAAAAAAATTTAGGTCTAAGCATGAATCACTGGATGGTTCATTATGAGGGAATGATTGGTACTACATGGTTATCTATGTATTTTACAAGAGTACTAGTACAAGACATTTAGTGGCATGGAGGATTTAAATTAATTAAGCTAACCAACATACAAAATCAAGTCTCTTTGGTGGCTCAGATTTCGAATCTACTGCCTTAAATTTAGTCTGTCGAATGATCCACATTTTCAGATTTATTCATCACACATACTCCAATTTGATCATTCTCCATCTCCACAGCTGTTGTTTAGGATCAAAGCATGGCTGAAAAATCAAAGTATTAGCAAGAGTATCACAAAACATATTCCATCGCGCTTTAAGAAGCATATATCAAACAAGGAATCAAATACAGCCAATCCTAAAAGTCCCCTCGGGCAGCCACAGGGATGTTAAATATGCAGGAAGGGAGATCACCAAGAAGCTGACACGTACATTACGTTGTCTCTTGGTGTGTCTCAGCAACTAGAAGGTTTATATACTTGACCGTGACTGGATTACACACAACAACAGGGTCATTACAAAACGATGGATAAGACAACAAAGGATCCCAGAAACTATTGCATGAATTCAAAATTCCAATTTTTTTATGTTTGGGATTAGCTCTGATGAAGGGTTTCCTTTCAATCTCTGATCTAGTGGGGCAACTGATTGGGCACCACCATTTTTATTGTTGAGCACCATTTCAAAGTTGCGCAATGGGATCTTTAGTTTGGTTTCAAGATTCATGCCAGGTCTTTTCTTTGGTGTTTTCGTAATGAAAAAAATGACCCTGAGAAGATCGAAAGGTGTATTAGCCTAAATGAATCACAAAATAATAAAAATAATGAAGAGAAAATAAACATAATATCAAAACCTAAACTGTCAAAACTTCTTCTGGTAAATTGCTAATTCGATCTTTATAAGAGTACATGAGTGGACTCACAACTACTCTTTCATCTTCGACGTCATCTCCTTGCTCACCATCTAGTATGGGAACTTTGCTCTTCATAATCTATGTGAACTAATGAGGTGGTGTGATTTGTGAAGATGAAAACCTAGGAATCCAATACATGTCCATTTATAGCGTTTCTTTTAGGGTTTTTGCTTCCCTTTTTGGCAGACTGAGTATATATGGTAGGTCCGAAAATAAAAGTATATATGGTAGGTTGGTTAAACGGTATTAATTTGTCATTTATCTGCGTATTGAATGCCAGTCAAGCAAAATAATTAATTAATTATTTTTTTCTTATATATATATGGTAGGTTGGTAGAACATAGTTTGACTTCAATTATTATTGATAAAACGGTGGAAAAGAATTGTTTTTTGGCCAAAATATTTATTATTTTATATAGGCACCTTAAAATTTTTGGATGATATAATTTTTCAACGCCATTTATTAGCCATATTTTGATTATTAGTTTGGCTCTGTTGTCATTTTATTTATTTAGATATATAAAAGAATTTACTGTTACACAGTTAATTAAAAACAGTCTTTATTCGTCCTTATAGCCATGCAAATATTGAACTTTTTTTTTTTTTTTTTAATGATATAATTTTTAAATTGCAGCCGAGGATACCAAAGGCGGTATGGGCCGGATCAAACCCACATGGTGAAGAATGGGCCAGACAAATGGCCTGGGCCCAAATCAAGCTGTCGTGAGGCAAGCCCAATGTCGAAGAGTGAAGCGAAGGCCTAAAAGATGAATGGATCTATGGATACAAAAGCCTCGATGATGAGCCCAATGGAGGAAGTTAGTTAGGGATCTTCTAGAACATTGTAAACAATCTATAAATAGGTGAAAAGTGAAGGAAAAGGGAATCGAAAATTTTAAAGTGTAATGAAACTCTGTCAATTTAGAGAGAGAAAATTTCTTGCATCTTCAATGGCGCCGTTCGTGGGAATCGATGAGAATTCATTGACGATTCACTCAGATTGATTGGATCTAGTAGTGTAGCGCGTGAAGACGAAGCCTGATCGTTGAAGGCAGAATCAAGATCGATGAAATCGTGATCGGAGAAGTTGGCGTTCGATCTACGCAGTTCTGATTTGTGCTTGTTTTGGAGAGCTGTGCGGTCGAAAGTTGCTGAGATTGCTGAATTTGGCAAGTTCGTCGCCGGAGCAACTCAGATCTGGTTAATCACGATCAAAATTCAGTTGAGCTAGAATCCAGATCTAGAGCGTCAGCATTGGCAAAACTCAAATCTGATCAGAAATTTGTGGTTGATGACTTTGCTATGATCCAGAATGATGATCGGAGAAGAGAGTTCGAATCCAGTGGAGAATAACTAGCAGATGAAGCTTGATGAACTGATGAACTGATGAACATGATTGAGGCACTGAGAAAAGAAAATGCAGAGTTGAGAGCTGGAATGGAACGCCGAAAGGTTCCAGTTGCTCCACGACCGCCTCCGGTGGGAGAAAGACGCGTGCGACCTGATGACGCACATCAAGGTGAGCAAGAAGGAGATAACCACGTCAATCTCCATCGCGAGGAGGTTAGGTTTACCGCCAAAAGCTCGTCGAGCTGAGGATCGAGAAGGATCTGTACATCTTGATCCACATCGTGAGCATATCAGGCGGGACGAAAATACAGCTTTCAATCCGCATCAGGAAAGGCACAATCACGAACAGGATATGGAGTTTGATTGTCACAAGATTAACTCGCCATGGGAGAAAGAGTTCACTGAGGAAAGGTCGTTCGATCCACCTTATCAGCCTTCAATGGCCACATATGATTATAGGAGTTCGGAAAGAAGATCTACAGATCAAAGAATTGTCACGAGGTTTGAAAGAAAGAATGAGGCCCTCCATTCGGTAGCATGGACTATTGATTCGCCATTTATTGACAAGATCCTGAATGCTCCAAGCCCGAGGAAGTTTTCCATGCCTATTTTCATTCTGTTCGACGGAACGACTGATCCGATTGATCATGTATATCACATTCAGTTGAAGATGGCATTGAACACAGAGAATGATCCTTTGATGTGCAAATGTTTTCCTACAAGCTTAGCTAGACCGGCGCTCAACTGGTTTAAGAACCTGCCGAGGGGCTCAGTGGACAGCTTCCGTAGCTTGTGTGATCGGTTCATAAGCCAATACTATGGGAATAAGCGCCCGACTAAAGATATCTCTAGCTTGTTCGCCATGAAATAGCATGACGATGAGCGTCTCCAAGCTTTTCTTTCCAGGTTTAACCTAACTAAGAGTATGGTGATAGAGTGCCATCCTTCCACAGCAGTTCAGGCGTTCAAGTTAGCTATGACCCAAGGGACACCGTTCCATACCAGTCTGGTGGTGAACACGCCGAAGACAATGGACGAGTTGAATGAGAGAGCTGATGGTTTCGTGCGCCTAGAAGAAGAAGAAGCAGCTAATGCTAGGAAGTCATCTATCATCTCCACGGAAGAGAAGTCTAAAGCGAAGATACGACAGAAGCAAGGTCCTATGCAGCGTCAGACCTCCTGGAAGGCAGAGAAGAGACCTAGGGAGGATGACTTGGTTACTCCACTCAAAGTTACGCTGGCAAGGCTATACCAAGAGAACAAAGATAAGTTTCACCCTCCCTTGCCAATTAGACAACCTCTTGAGCAGAGGGATAAATCTAAACATTGTGCTTTTTTATAGTGATTTTGGTCATCAGACTAATGAATGCAGGAACTTAAGGAGACAAGTGGAGATGCTGATCGCTAGGGGAGAGTTTGCAGGGTATGCTCAAAGACCAACCCAAGAGCAGAATCGACCAATTGAGCAAGTCAAAAGAAATCAAAAGCCGAATCACCATAACATTCAGCCCGTTCGGATTATAAATGCGATTCATGGTCAACCTAAACGAGCCGAAGAGTCCGAAGAATTGACCCGAACGCGTCTTCGACAAGCACAAATGAAGAGAAGAATAGGCAGTGTCAACACTCTGTACCAGCAGAGCGCATCAACACAGATAAGATTCGATAAAGCGGACTTGATGCGAGTTCAGATTCCTCATGAAGACCCCCTGGTCATTAGTTTAACAGTGGCAGAATGTTTGGTACGAAGGGTGCTAATTGATCCAGGAAGCAGTGCTAATATAATGCCTAGAGTCACCTTCGATCGGCTGGAAATCAAACCAGAAGAGCTCAAGTGTACTGGGAATCCACTATTGGGATTTGATGGAAAACGAGTTGAACTGATCGGTACAGTAGAGTTGCTTATCCGGGCAGCCGAACAAGACCTTATCGAGAGCTTTGTGGTGGTGGAGATCCATCCTTTTTTACAATCTACTGATGGGGAGAGGGTGGATTCATAGGGTACAGGGAGTCCCATCGACCCTACACCAAGTGATGAGGTGCTTAGGTTTGGACGGGAACAAGGTGATTGACATCCATGGAGATCAGGTTGCCGTAAAGGAATGTTACTCAGTGACTTTGAAAGCTGCAGGGAAGGGGAAAGCTCCTATTCGCCCAGCTATCCCACAATAGCAATTAAAGAAACCTCCCTCAGGCACGAGTGGGGAGGAGCTTCCGGTGCAAACTGAGGAACCCCTAGTTGAAGTTCAAATTAATCATTTAAGGCCAGATCAAACCACAAAGGTAGGTTCTGGGCTTACCGAGAAAGAAAAACATCGATTGGTTGATTTCCTCTCCCAGAACGCCGATGTATTCACTTGGAGCCATCTCGACATGCCAGGGATCGATTCCTCAGTATCCTGCCATTCTCTTAATGTAGATCCGTATGTCAAGCCAGTGAGGCAAAAGCAGAGAAGGTTCGCCCCGGAACGCAACCAAATCATTGGAGACGAAGTTAATCGATTGCTGGAGGCTGGGTTCATTAGAGAAGTACAGTACCCGGACTGGTTGTCGAATGTGGTTGTAGTGCAAAAGAAGAATGGAAAATGGAGAGTTTGCATTGATTTCACTAATCTGAACAAAGCCTGCTCGAATGATAGTTTTCCACTTCCAAAGATTGGTCAAATGGTGGATACAACAACCGGGTATGAGCGACTGACCTTTCTGGATACATATTCAGGCTACAATCAAATCCCAATGGACCCAGGTGATGAGGAAAAGACCTCTTTTGTCACCGAACGAGGGATCTATTGCTACAAGGTTATGCCGTTCGGACTGAAGAATGCCGGAGCCACGTACCAGAGGTTGGTTAGCAAGATTTTTAAGGATCAAGTGGGTAGGACAGTAGAGGCTTACATCGACGACATGGTGGTCAAAAGCAGACAGAAGGACCATCACTTACAACATTTACAGGAGGTGTTAGGCGTGCTAAAAAAGTATAGAATGAGGCTGAATCCAACTAAATGCTCGTTCGGCGTGGGATCTGGGCAATTCCTTAGCCACGTGGTCAACAACAGAGGAATTGAGGTTAGTCCAGCCCAAGCGGAAGCTTTGCTAAAAGACGCTGAACTAAGTACTATCAAAGAGGTCTAAGCTCTCACCGGACGCATAGCGGCACTTAGTCGATTCATTTCTAAGTTATCCGACCGATGCAAACCATTCTTCGATACAATCAGGGGTCATGGAAAACAGTCTTGGGGGGATGAGCAAAGACAAGCGCTGATCAAGCTGAAAGAATATATGCGGAACCCACCAGTCCTGAACTCCCCAGTGCCAGGCGAAATGCTTTTCCTGTACCTTAGAGTTTCTAACATTGCGACTAGTGGTGTGCTGATACGATGTGCCGAGGGTAAGCAATTCTCAGTTTTTTATGTAAGCAAAACGTTGATCGAGGCAGAGAGAAGATATTCGAAGGCCGAATGAGTAATCTTATCTTTGGTAAATGCAAAAAGGAAGCTCAGGCATTACTTTGAGTCTCATCCTATAGTCGTCCTGACCACATTTCCTATAAGGGTGATCCTGTATAAGCCCGATTTGTCCGAACGAATGACGAAGTGGGTAATAAAGCTTAGTTCTTTCGACATAGCTTATGAACCTCCAACGGCTATTAAAGGGCAAGCTGTGGCTGATTTCTTACTGGAATGTGATATAGATGAGCTAGATGAATGCCTTGAAGAATCTTCATGGAAGCTCTTCGTTGATGGCTCCTCAAATCTGATGGGGGCAGGAATCGGGATCAAGTTACAAACACCAGAAGGCACTATGCTGAGCTAAGCGATCAGGCTTGAGTTTAGAGCAACCAACAATGAAGCAGGGTATGAAGCGCTGCTGGCTGGCTTAAGGTTGGTGAGGGAGCTAAAGGTCAAAAGTTTAGTTGCCTTCAGTGATTCGCAGTTAGTAATTCAGCAAGTAACTGGGGAATATGGAACAAAGGATGAGACAATGGAGGCATATCGCTCCGCTGTTATGCAAGAAGCTAGAAGCTTCGATCGGATCAAGTTCAATCAATTGCTGAGGGAGCATAATGAAGATGCCGATCGGTTGGCCTGTAGTGCGTCAAGTTTAGGTGAAACATTGGCAAGGGTAATTCCAATCGGGGCGCTATGCCAGCCATCTGTCCTTGAGGAACCGTCAAGTTCGGATCCCTAGCAGGTGAATGTTATACCATATGAACCGAGTTGGATAGATCCAATTATTACGTATATACGGGATGGTGTTTTGCCCGAATAGAGGGATGAAGCAAGAAGGATCAGATCGAATGCCGCAAAGTATGTCATAGTGCACAACCAGCTTTATAGGAGGTCTTATTTAGGACCATACTTAAAATATGTAACCCTTGCAGAAGCTCAGCAGGTACTGTCGACTATCCATGAAGGGGTTTGTGGCAATCATTCAGGGGGAAGGTCTCTAGCACACAAAGCGATAACACAGGGTTACTTCTGACCGAACATGGCACGAGACACAGAGGAATTTTTGCGAAGTTACGATAAGTGTCAAAGGTTCGGACCACTGATCCACCAACCACCAGAAGATTTGCACATAATAGCCAAACCATGGCCTTTCGCGCAATGGGGGATAGATATGGTTGGCCTGTTACCAACCGCCAGATCGCAAAATAAGTACGTTCTGCTTGCAACAAACTACTTTACCAAATCGGTGGAGGCAGAACCGTATCCCACTGTAACTCAGACCCATGTGAGACGCTTCATCTGGAACAATATCATTTGTCGATTTGGTGTGCCGAGGTCAATCGTCATAGATAATAGGACTAACCTTGATAGCAAGCAGGTGAGGGAGTTGCTGAACGAATATGGAATTAATCAAAAGTTAGCGGTGGTCAGCCACCCACAGGCGAATGGTCAGGTTGAAATCACAAACAGAACGATCTTTGCTTATATAAAGAAGAAGCTTGAAGAAAAGAAAGGGAAGTGGTTAGATGAACTCCCGAACGTCCTGTGGGTGTATAGAATGACTCCAAGACGACCGACCGGAGAAAGCCCATTCGTCATGGCGTATGGTACTGAGGCAGTAATACAAAAACAAAGAAAATCGTTCCAAGAATGAGGTTCCACATTATTCTGGATCAATGTCCTTCATCAGACGTTACGATGATTATGTGCGTAATATACGAAACAATAATTATAAATTTTTTATTTTATATTCTACGTTCTAAACCATATATTTGTCTAATAGTCACTATTACTTTGTACTATAGGTCAAACTCAAAGAAAGGCAGAGCCAAGAAGATAAGGACGGTGAAAGGGAAGAGGATCCTGCTATTCGTTTGTACAAGGACACACATTTTAAGGAACAAGGTGGATGGGCACATGAGAAAGCTAAGAGGAATTTTGTAAGTTAACTATAAGCTAGCATGTTAGATTATGAAATTTGGATCTCATAATATTGTCCACATTGATTGATTGTGTTGGATTTGTAATTTATCTGTTTTGCATAGTTCAAATATGTGTCTTATATCTAGGGTATAAATCTGGAGATTTAATAACAACTCATGCCAAATAAATGTTCTATCCCCTTACATTCCATAACTCCAAGATACTTCAAGTCTAGAAACCCCTCACCATCTCTGTCTTGACTCACATTCTTTAAAATTTCCACTTCTACTAAATACATACATGAGATCTTTGGATGTATCATGAAAATTAATGAATCAGTCCATTAATTGGGGTTTCTTGAATTAAAACTTGTTTAGAGTAAAGATTAATTTTAATTAGGGTTTCGTCAATCTTGGTTGTGACTGAAAATTATACCTATAGCAGGAGAGAGAAGAGAGAGAATGGAATAGCTTGTAAATGGAAGCCTCACTTTGCTCTAACAAGTAGTGACCCATTTATATATATATATGAATATATCTGTCTCTCTGTCTGTTTGTGTGTGGGGGTGTGGAGAAAGTGAGGTGATTTTCCATGAAGCAGCCCTTTTATGCATAAGGTTTATGTGTGGTTGTTACATATATATATATATACACACTTTTATGTTTTATGATTATCTAAATATATAGGGTAAAGTGCATTTAACCCCCCTAAACTTTCAGCAAAAAACACAAAACCCCCCTAAACTAAAAAATACCCCCTGATCTATTAAAAATGTACAATTTAAGGACAAAATGAATTGTCTCCGGCATAAAAGGTCACCGGAGATGTTTGATTACAAAATTACCCTTTTATAAAAGGACGTCGTTTTAGTGTTTGATGGGCTTCTATTGCGGATGTGTCAGACAAATTGTGAACAGCCAATGATATTTGAACAACTCATTATCACTTTACCAAAACTTCAACGCCAAACAGAGTCAGCGCTGAACCAACCAGTGAAAGCTAAGCTTTGAAACAGTAACTCATCTATTGCAACACCAACATAGCTACTATACGAACCTCCCCCCTCCTCCCTCTCTATCTCTCTCTTCTGTCTAACCTTCTCTTCCCCTCTCTTTCCTTTTCATGGCCGATGATGGAGGCACTGCTCCGGCAGTGGTCATCGGCGTCGCGAAAAAGCGACCGCAAGGTTGCGGCTACGTAAGTGCATCACAGCTTGGAAAGGTCGACTTCATGGCGACGCATGTCCAAATCTACTACTTGGCGACCTTGTGTCGCCGTGGTACAGGTCTCCAAGTCACCGGAATCGCCCGGCAGCCAGCTCACCACCGCCATCAACGTGGAGAATTTTCCTCCTACCGAGACCTCTGCATCAACAACTTCGGTGTAGCACCGCTCCTCTTTTGCAGGAGATTTTAGTGGTTTGGCCGCTGTTATTGCACCAATTTTTTGGCCGGAGACTTCACTTTGGCCGCTGCGATTGCACCGTTAATGCTTAGATCTTCTCTCTCTATGTCAATTCTCTTGTTTTATTATAGCCAAGAACTTGGGCCGGAACTGGCATACAATGAACCGGGACAAAATTCGGAAGTGGGTTCGAATCCCTGTGTGAGATCGTTCGAGCTATGGAG